GGCAGCGGGGCAGCTGTGAGGGGCCAGCGGCAAGCTGGGGGCTGAGGGGAGGTGACGAGCCTCGAGGCGGAGCTAGGAGCAGCGCTGAGGGGGAGCCTGGCGAGGACCAGGGTTCGTTGGAGCCCCAGGTTGTGCGCCTGGGTGAGCAGGGAGGATAGCTCTCCTCTCGGTGAGGTAAAACTGAGAGGGTTTGGGCCTGTGGAGGAAAGACTGAAAAAGTGGCTGGGATGTCCCTTGGAAGGCAAATGGGAAGAATTTGCCCTCTGTTAGGGTGGATTGTGTGGCCTGAGGGTGGTGGTGGTGAAGATACATGGTGAATTTTTCTGTTTCTGTGTCTAGGAAAAATAAGAAGAGGCTGTCTTGCTGTATCTAAACTGTAGTCCTGCATAAATGCTCATGTGAACCGTCATGGTCTTTCATAGCCTATTCCAGGCACAGCCCCAGATCCGTTTCTCAGATCATCTGGTTTCGCTTGGTCACCTCCCAGCACCAGGGGTGCTAAGATGGGGAATGTGGCTAGGGTGAGTGAGGAGTGCACAAAAGCCCCAAGTCAAATAATTTTACTGTAGAGACCATTATTGCCCTTTATATTTTACAAATGGGAACACTGAGGCCCTGAAAGATGAAGTGCTTGCCCATGATCAAACGGAAAAGCAGTGGCAGGGTGATGAATACAACTCATTGTTTCTGAGTCTGAGTCAGCGCTCTGCATATGAGGCTGCAATGATGTTGGTGTAACCTATTGGCGATGATTATTCTAAATATAAAAAAGCAGTAATACTTTCTCAGAATTGCATCTATCATAACCTCACTTGAAATACATACATGGTGTAAGCTATCTAGTATTTGTCCTTATGAGAAGAAAGAACCAAGGGACAGTGGGAAAGAACCAAGGCAGTGTTTCACTCTATGTTCCTGTTTGTTCTATTGCTTATTTTTCACATATTTTATAAAACGCGTATCTTCAGTGACTAATATTTTTAAGTAATCAGTTGGTGGCAGGAAATGGAAGTGCCATCTATCTGTAGAAAATTGATTTTCAGAAGCCAAGTCCGCAAACATATGAGGAGGAGGAGGTAGTACAACTTGGTGAGAGACGACCAAAATGTAGACTTGTTTTTCTTAGTCAGGATGATTTTAGACATATTATGTAAGCAGGAGAGGAGGGGGGGTGGAGACCAAAATGACAGAGCTCTTCTACAGTATGAACAAAGATGAAATAAACGGTAGTGACAGAAAAGGAATGAAAAATATAACATTTGAGAGAAAAGTCACTGAATTCAGTTTGAAACACTGTAGCTGCTGATTGCTGTAACACAGTGAAGAACGCAGGCCTGCATGCCTACTCAGTGTCCTTCAGTGACTGTAATAAAATGAAGGCTAATTAAATGAAAGTGACTGAGAGCAGTGCTCTAATTTGTTCACTGTTTCACAGAGAGAAATGCCAGACCTTTGGGCTAAGTTCATTTAATGCTGATACTACTGAGTAGCTGCATGCTTATTTCTAAAATGGACAGTTTTTAAAATTCTCACCATTTCCCCCCACCACCACCCAAGAGCATTCTCTTACAAGTAAAAGTCAGTTTAGAGTTGAGTCAGTAAAGCCAAAAGGAACTACTTACACTTCATCTAACAATTGAGTTTGGCCTAATGAGATTTGAGATAGATCATCTGGGAATTGGTTTTATACGTGGCAAGAAGTTTCTGCAGGGTGAAGCTGCAGGGTAGAGGGAGAGCCAAAACTTCCAGGATAACAAGATCATCCTTAATTTTTTTTTTTTTTTTAAAGCTGCTAAAATGTTTAAAAATGCAATATTGTAAGATCTCATTGCATGTTGAAAAATGAAAGTGGAGTGCAGCACAGCTGCAAAGCAGTGAGACATAAATTTCCTCCTGAAGTTTTTCCTTCTCTAAGTGTCCGAGAAACAAAATGTGGTAGAACAGATGAAAATAAAATAGTACAAATATTTCTTTATTTTCATAGAGTATTCTCCTTACTTCAGAGTTACTGCCTTGGATAACGCTAGTAAGCACTAGAAAAGCTTGTGTTTTAAATGAGTCAGAGAACTCTCTCTAGAAAGTTCAGTTACATGTTTGTTGTTGCCTATGCTGGGAAGCATGAGCCTCTCGGGAAGTCTCCCTACTTATAAAAAGGTCAGGAGGTGCAATGCAGAATTTCAATATAGTACCTTTTGATAGAAGTTGCTCAGTATTTTGGCAAAGAAAACTTTCAGGTCATTGGGGAGTATCAGCTTCTAGCTCAGATTTCTCATGACTTGAAGCCTGACTCATCTGACAAATAGCTGGAAACAATTAACCTAAGCAACTGATGTAGAAGTAAAATATCACGTAGGTTGTTGTCAGACATATATATGTGGAAGTGGAACATGCGCAAGATAAAACGAAAAGCAGGTATTCAGCAATAGGTGTAATACATTGTTGACCATTTAATGTAATACTAGCTCACCTGCTTACCAGTATGTGTCGGTTGGCACCACACAGATATACTTTATGATATACCTTACTTCTGTCCTGGCAAAGCAACTGCTGAGTTTTATTCTTGCAAGGGAACTTCT